GTAAACAAACTCAGTGAGTGGCACAGTGATCTCCAAGTAGGTGCCAGAGCCCAAACGTGGGACTGTGAGGCCGTAACTCTAGTGTTTGTGCTGTCAGACGCAGCCTCTTCTCCATACGCGCAGCAACCTACATTCAGGTTGTCGAACGTGATCGATGAAATTCTTAACGATCAGTTATCGATTAGTCGATTAATCATGCCCATCCCTACTTTAAACAGTCATATTAGTTTAAGTAATATGCTTTAGTGTTGTTTTTGAAATATTTTTTGGTACTAAGGAATATACTTGATACTTAATACCGATTCCAATACCTCAGTGATAATTGAAAACAGACAATAGCGTGTGATTTTCAACATGAAATCATAATATTTTTTTTATATTACTATGCAGTCTTACATCTGCATCACCCAGGTAGGTTGTGTACCAGTCTATATGGTCTTATACTTGTTCTAATATAGCTCAAGATCATTCTAAATCTATTGGTTGGATGGTTCATTTCTGTCCTGTGAATCTCACTTTTTTACCTATACCTACTCAAATTAGTACCTACAGTAGTTTTGATACAGTTTTAGTACTGATTATTGTAAGATTTTTTATATTTTTAACAACCCTATTATGCTTTCACTAAAAACATTGCTAGATACATTGCTATAGGACACAGGTTTGCCTGCTTTTTCTCTTCCAGTTCTGTTTCTAAAGCCTACTGTACACGTAGAGCAGACTTGTAAATACTTGTAAACCTCTCCACCTTTGATTTGTAAGAGCTGGAATGCATTCAGTTCCCTATTTCAGTGGGTCTCATTTTTGGGTCACATCAAGGGGCCATTGGGCAGAAGTGAATTACTCAAGCGAAGCTCTCTTGCACGGCAATGCTTTTTTATATTCACCCACTCTCTCGCTCTCTTCTCTCTCGCTATTCTCCTCATCTTTTCATCCTTTTCTTTGCCTCAAACCTTTATATCCATTTTTACCTTATGTTACAATCCTTGGGTACAGTACCTACCTTTCCTCAAAGCAAATATATTCACTATCATTTTTGACTGTCTTGTACAATCCTCTGCTCTCCTTGCTCTCCTCTTGGGCCTCACTTGTTCTTATGATTCTCTGCTTTTTCCTCATTCTCCTGTGATCACGCCCCTCCCTCTCATCTTCTCCTAAGCCCCCCGTTCCTACTCCCATCCACTATCCTGAACCGTCTCCTGCCTGCATCTCTCTCAGGACATGAACCTCACACATGGCTTATTGATTTCAGTAGCAGCACACTAGATGTATAGCCAGCTACAGTCTTGTATTGCACCCACACATCTCCCTATGGACGATTTGAAATGTGGAAGGGCTCCTACGTATATATCTCCAACAGTTTTAATACTTGGCATTACTGGAGTGCAGATTTAGTTTGCAAAAACTGATTAAATTATGTTTGTAGGCAAAAAGGAAAATGAGAGGAGAAAGGCAGGGGAATTGTGCCTGTAGATGGCAGAAGAGAGCTGTAAGGGAAAGTGAGTGAGAGCGTTTTGTGAGTGAGAGGCATGAGGCACACTGACTAACTAGTATATACTTAACATTACCATAACGATTGTGGATAGATGTATCTTCAAATATGGTTTAGTGTCTTTTAAAGAGACATCCAGTAGAGAAAAAATCATGACCAATGTACATATAAGCCTTAAGTGCACAAAATGACCCTTTTAAATACTAACATTAAAATTTTCTAAAAAATGAAGAACTACAACAATAAAACTGGCCGACCAAAGCATATTTTAAACATGTCTTAGATATAACACATGTCTTTATATTCTGTAGACAATAGTATGTTTGTAGATTTTCAGTATTTATTCATAGTACTTTCTTCTGTATTACTATACAGTCTTCTATATGTGTAATCCCTCAGTCACCCAGGTAGTTTCCATAGTGTTTCATGAGCGAATACTAACCTAATGTGGTCTTATACAGTTCAAGATAAGTCTAAAGCTGTTCTGGAAAGATTCATTTCATTCATTTCTGGCTTGTGAATGTGAGTATCGATACCTGCTCAAATGAGTATCTAGTTTCTACTTTTAGCACTGATGACACTTTCACTAATAAAATGTCTAAATCTATTTTTCTATAAGAAGAACAACACTAACCAAACTGACCAACCAAATCATATTCTCAAGATGTCTTAGATAAAAATATTGTGATTCTCCTTCAGGCTTTATTATTTACTGTCGTTTGTTTTGACCAGAGTTTGGATGTTGTGTCTGATCTGCTGTGAGATAATAATGCGAAAAATAATACTTTAAACCGAGCACATTGTCTCAGCCAATTACAGTCTTAAGCCTGGATTTTATTGCATTAAATCCATGCTGTGAAAATGCAAATTACTGCAGTTGACTACAGAACTTAAAGAAAGGCCATTATCATATATGCACCATCATGCTCTTATTTCCAGCCCCAAGCCAGAAAAGGAGAGGTTTCAAGAAAGTTGTTTAGTGTGATCCAAGAAATGCTTGACTGTAAGCTATCCCATACTAAAAAAAGAAATGTAAAACAAGAGCGTGGGAGTGTGGGTGAGCTGTGTAACTTTCCGGGTGGAGGGTCCGCCACCATGGAGATGTTGTTTTGCCTGGAATTTTTCACATTATGTTATTAAACGTATCTATTTCGATGGCGATAAGCAACAAGCCAAATTACAGGTTCGATTTGTGGAGAAGTGGGCCTGCTTACAGTAGAATGCATATTTTTCATTGTATTGTTTTATTGTAAAAAAACAAAAACACCTGTAATTATATAGTAAGCAACTTTAATTCCATACTGTGGTGCATTCGATGAAACGCAATCTCCCTAGCATATCTCCATGGACACAACCAGGTCCTTATCACTTATCAGTTACATAATGCACCTTTTAGATACACTTTTACGTTTGTGATACGCATAAACAAACTGCTTTCGGATTAAGAAGTGGAATTGTAAAGTGTTGGGCACAAGCCAAGCAAACACTAAAAACTCATTACATTTCTGACCATAAAGGATTAATACTAATATATAATTTTAATAATGCAAGATGGGGCTTAACAAGGGGCTTTGATGGTCTGTCCAACCGTTACCAAGGGCCCCCTTTTTATATGGATCTGCTCCAAATTGTAATGGGTTCGTCCTTGTCCTAATTTTATGAAAATCAATGCAGTGTGTGCTATGGAATGTTGATGGATATCCTGGGATATTTGATGGCTTCAAAGGGCTGCATGGTCTTTACAGTAATAAATTGTAATTGCCAATATGGACTATACTGGGACACATGTGTAAATGTATTTCCTATTGATGTAATGATTGTCGTCATGGTTACACACGTAGTTGGAGCTGGTTATCAGAAGTTCTCTTGATTGGAAAAGCTCACATTTTTGTACAATTTCCACCGCTTGCATTCTACCCGGCAACTCTGATCTCGCTTACTCATATGGCCTTAACATCAAGGCCAGCGCGTAATCTCCAGTCTGTACACAGACCATTCACAACCTTGGAGGAAACCACAAGGCGTACAGGCGAGGCAACGGATGGCTGGAGATAGTGCCCATGCTGTAGCTTCGAGGGTTAAATTAAAAATGGATGGATGTGAAATATGGGTAACCAGAAGCAATGTAAAAACACTTAAAGACCGCCATGGATTTCTATTAAACGTGGGATCCGTGGCGGTAATGATGCTTGACCAAAGTTCACAATCCCCAGTGTGGCGTTATTTTTAAAGGACCAGTATTTAGAAATCATTGGCTCAGCTACATATTTTACCGTTTAACGAAAATGACTAATATTACATTTGGATTCTGTGTAAAATGATAATAATTCAACCCAATTACAGTTATCATGCACATTAATGGAATACTATTTTGTGATTTATTATCGCAAAGTGCAATCTAATTTCTATTTTTTTCATTATTGATTCAAATTTCAGTAATTTGGCCCCATGATGTTGAGCCATTAGTCTAAAAGTCTAGCTTCTAACTTGGTCTAGAATCTTTACCCGATGTTCCTTATCCCTGTTGTGCTTTGTTTTTCTTCCCTTTTCAGTCTGATCAATCCTAGATTTCGTTTGCTAAACTTTTGGCAGTCGTCCATTTATTCCCTTGTGCAGTGTAGGCTAGTGCGTGCATTTCTATCCTTGTATCCTTTTCATTTTAGAACACTCATCTTTGTGGAATAAAATAAGGATATCTCCGATGACTAAAACAGATTTTGGCCATATAGTTTCCAATTCTTTGCCGTTATTTCTGACCAAAACGCGCGAGAAAGGAGAGCGGGGAGTTATATACGAGCAGCTCTTGAACGCACCATCTCTTCACCGGCGGCTAGAAGGCACAGACGCACCACAGCGTTTGAGAGAGCTGGACCAAGAGGGATGATATACGTCTCCGCTAGTTTCTGACAACGAGAGGATTGTTCTTTTTTATTTCCTTTCGGACACGGGCACCTGACGGACTGTTTCACTTCAATAGGAACAGATTTGGTTTACGCAGACTTCGCCTATAGATAAATTCTTACTGAAAAGTCTATAGGATGGTGGTGCTGAAGTGGACAGCAAAGACGTGAACAAGGCTGAGAAATACTATAGAAGAAGACTGATTTTTGGAAACATCGAGGATACAGTGCCAACGCGTAGAGAGAATGGGCTCCAAAAGAAGGGGTGCTTTGAGAATGGAGCGGGGACGCAGACCGGAGGAAGTGCGGTTTTGATGCTTACCCCTCATCACTCTATCGCACAAGGCAGAAGGAAAGAAGAAGCGACAACCTGTTTTCCCCCTCCGTACCGTCTTTTTTTTTTGCATTTCTCCTGATGGGAATGTTGACATGAAGGATCTATCCAGTCTATGTTAAAGGAGGAGGCGGGAATTGGGGGGAATTAATACGCACGTCTCCTGCTTATCCCTTACCCCTCTCAGTCTATCTGTCTCTCTTCTCTAGTCTTTTCCTTATCCGGTTTTTTTGATTTATCTTTTTATCCCAACATTTTGTGGATGTGAGGCAGCATGCGGCCCGGTGAGAGCTTGGTCGGCTCATCACGAACATGCGTTAGCGCCAGTCGGAGTATGAAGAGGGACCCTGCGAGCAGCGACTACTGGGGCATGACGGAGCACCGGGGGACGGCGACGACGGTGCTGCGCGGTTTTCTGTGGAGTCTCGTCCTGTGCTGTCTGTCTACTCCTTCTCAAGGTAACGCAGACATACGCATAGAGCCGATATATGCAAGCAATGTGGTGCGTAATATCTCCACCGCAACGTCAAAAATTCGCCAAAACGTTGTTGCGTAAAAGCAGCGCCGTGTTGTAGTGAATTAGTTATAAAGATTGTGACCGGTAACGTTATCAGTTTGCGCCCTGGTCTCTTCCTTTAGCCTCATACTTTCTTTTCTCCCCTCTTTCCTCCCTCTCTCCATCTCCTCAATACAGCCATTGAGCCGGTAGCCAATAAATATTCTTGCGGTAGCTCTTGGGCTGTGGCAGTAAACGTGAGCTGCTTATACCAAAGAAGTGAGAGACAGAGAGTGCTCATCTCCCATACGGGACCTCATTACTGGCCACCAACCGGGCCCTATCCAAATCTATATATGTTTTCTCCTTAAAATCTGCATCATTAATCTTAGTCAAGCCGTTATATAACAGTGGTGTCTCCCCATTTCTCTTCCTGCCCCTTCTTTTTCATTCCCCCACTTAGCTGCTGTCTCACATTTTGTTGTAAGTAAAATGAGACGTTAAAGTGTCTAAAATTTTCAGTAACTATGCAGACACGATGCTGAGAGACAACTTTCCAGTCAAGCCAAATCACCAAAGCCTATTTAGTCTGTTTAGTCGGACACTGCTGCATCAGGTGTGGCCAGTGAGCTATAGAGAAAGCGAGGCATTTATCACGCCGGAATTAAGTGAGAGGAGAAACCACAGCAGATGACGTAGAAAAGCAGAGGGACAGGGGAGCGAAAGGGTTACCAAATCTTCTGAGCAGGCAAAGTTAACTGGCAAAGAGGCATATCTTTTAACAAGGTACAGCGATGTCTTCCAGCACCCTAGCGTAGCTGTTTTTTTCAGAGGATAAATTTGTAGGACATGGATTCGGTATGGCTTGATTGAAAAGTGTGGCTGAAGGCAACAGAAGCCTTCAAAGACTTGTAAGGTTATTTGCAGGCATTTGTCATTGTCACGGTAAAGTCTACATGATCCCTGTGTTATAGGGAGATCATGCTGGTGGCTGACTGAGCAGAAACACTTATAGATTTGTACCAAGATTGAACAGGTTAAGACAGGTAAGTATAGTCAGTTTGTGCACGGGCAAAGAATTAACTATTTTCAAACCTGTAGCTGCTTGTTGGATCATTGACAAATAGGTAGTAGGACTAATTTCGAGTAACATTTCCACAAATCTGACCTCTTCTCTGCAGTTTAATCTTTATACTTCTAATCTTGGGTTATTTTAAAATGATTTAAACCAAGAAATGAAGATGGCTGTATCTTCTAAGAACCTACATTACGTTGTTAGTCAAGCTTACATTTAGGATTTGAGCTTGAATTAAAGGTCCTATAGTGAACAAACTTTACTCTTGTGAGCTTCAAGACATGTTAAAATGCTGTTACCTCCTTAAAAATATACCTGGAGTTGTGTTTTCTTTCATTCACACCTGTGTGAGTAACAATTTCTTATTAGTCTGTCTACATCTCCAAACCTGAAAAAGATCTCTTCCACCTTATGATGTAAGCTGTAGTTTTCACGCTCCTTTTACCTTTCCGTAGAGTTCAGCAGGGATTTGTCTGAGAAAAGAACTACGCAGGGTTTACACAACACAACTCCAGGTATGTTTGTGATGAGGAAACATTATAACCTAGATAAGAAAATAACGTAATATAGACCCTTTAATAAAAGCTTAAAAGCTACTTGAGAAAAAGCGGTTCTCAACGCAAGCAAATGTAACCTCACGAGAAAGGTGAAATACACTTGTAATTAAATGTCCCCTTGATGCATTGTGGTATTTTGAGCACTACAGTTTTTGAAAAGGGGACTTGGGAAAATTAAAACCCGCCTCAGGCCAAACCGTTCCATTTTTTTGGCTACTGCTTCTGAATTAGTCTAGTCTACCAGTCATTGGCAGGTAACCAATCATTGTATGGAGCCCAGCAATGCTCATCTAAAAAAAAAAAGAAACATCTTGAAGGTAAAGTAATGAAATGCCTAGTAATGGGTTTTTATATTGGTTGTGAACAAGATAATCCTCCAAATTTCTCATCTTGTTGACGCTTAGCTTTAAAGTCTAATCACCAGCAGTCCCAGCCTCGAAACTGTGGTGCTTTTTGTAGTGACGAGGCTGTGTTCCACTAGTCTTTGTTCAGTAAAAATGAGGGCAGGGGGACATTTCAGAGAGATGATGAAATGCTTCAACCTTTCTTTGAACCAAATTGATGGTGCGTGAATTAATGGGAAAATATTTGCTTTGTATTTGGTTTGAATTTAATGGGGAAGTTGTGTGTGGAGTAAGTCATGCCTGTCACATATACAATCGCACTGACATATTGGAATAATTCACATTTCTCATTATAGATACTAATCATCTGTAAGTATTTTTATTCTTGGGGTGTGCCGATACCGATACTGGTAAGAATATCGGTGGCAATCCATGAAAATTTGCTGGATCGGGTATTAATTCAGCCCAAATTTTTAATGGGGTTTTAATGAGATTATTTCCTGACTGATACTGGCCCAAGACATCTCATCATGTTTGAACTTTATTTCATATAAAGCTGTTCTGTAGTCGCTTACAGAGTTAAAAAATAGTTGCATAACACAATCGGATACATTTTGTAATGAGTTAAAGGTGCTTTGTGTAACTTTTCTGGTGTAGGGTCCCTCAAATGGTTTTCTACATGGGGGTGTTATTGCTTTGTCTGAAATGTTTCACAGTGTGGTATTACACCTTTCTATTTTCATGGAGACCAAACTAGACCAAGTTACAGGTCAGATCTGTGGAGAGGCGACCCCGCTCACAGTCAGAATGCATGTTTTTCTATTATTTTTGAGCAATAAAACCACCTGAGTAAATGTAAGGTAGATCTGTTTGTCATACTGTGGAACACTCGAAGCAGATGACTTCTCCAGAGAAAGAAGAAGGTGACGGATCTCCAACCGAAAAGTTACACAATGCACCTTTAACTGTGTTTGACAGAAATACTAAGAGAGATAGACTTTTTCAATCTCTACACTGTAATCTGTTAATATCAGATATCGGCAGATACTTAAAGCCATATATTTACATTTGTATCGGACCTTAAAAAGCTGAATCTGCTCTCACTTATGATATTTTGATATTTGTATCAAGGTGCACTATAACTCTTTCGGAAGAGGGTATGCCGTGGCAATATCTTGTCTCGGGAACACGATTTTGCCTTGTGTAGAATGTTCCGCAATAGATTTAGACCTAGACTTAGACCAAGTTTATTGATCCACAAGGGAAATTGTTTGGGCATAGTAGTTCACACATCACAATAAATATAATAACAAAGAGCAAAACTATAAATGGTAAAATGAATTCTAAATAAGTAGCAAAAAAAAAACAACATAGCAGTGTAATATGGTAGTATCTTGCATTTATTGAATTACAGATGTTTTTAATGGTCCAAAATACACCTTGAAAAACAGATATTCTTATGGGAGCAAGGTTACCTCCCCACTGATCTGACCTGTAACTGTAACTAACCATACAGTGGATAGAGACAAGCAAAAAGTTACATAATACACCTTTAAAATTCATGCTTCACAGCCCATAGTTGACAGATTTGCAGTCGCCTGTGCTCACAAACAGGACTGATTCAGACAAAATCTGAGAAGGCACAATTGGGTTATAATGGAAATTCTTGCTTCTGCCTGCTTGGAGGATGGTCCTTTTTGTGCACCTGCTCCAATAGGCACTCAGCGGTACTACAACAAGAAAAATCCCCTAAAGGAAACTGCACAAACTGCTGATAAGGCACTTGTAAATGAAATGTTTGGCAGATTTGTGGAGTCTCTGTGTCCCTCCACGCAGCACCAAGTTTTGAAAAAAAAAAGAGGCTGGTGTGATTATGCAGATTTTCAAAACTCTGTGAAGTCTGAGAGCAGGCAGCTGCAGATGAAATGAGGGCAAAAGATTTTCCCGAGTTCCGTGCACAAAAGACCAGGATTACCAGGAATTGAATCTGGGTTACAAGGTGAATACAAGTTTCAGTTTTCAATAAGCGCTTTGAAGGTCACATCTTTTCAAATACAACGCAGTGTAAGTTTTGTCTAAATGATTTGGATGTGGAGTTTGCTCGTGCATGTCACCTGTTTTTTATCCAGTTGAATTTGCAACTTCCATGAATATATTTACTGTTTGGGATGTACTAACTAATGTGCCTGGGATTTCTTTGAACAAATGCATGCTTACTTGTGGCAATTAACAAATGTCAGTAAGACTATGTGTGCTCTGTATCTCTCTCCCTAAACCTGGCCACCTCCTCCTCTCCTTTCCTTTTTTCTTGTTGTTTCCTCTCCTTCTCTCCGCTCTAGAATCCCGGTCGCCCCCTTTTTTTTTTTTTTTTGTTTGTCAGATTTGTTTTGGGGCTCCTGTGAGGTTGAATAGATTCACCAAACTACTAAACTAACTGCACGCGAAAGCACATATGCACATTTCAACCATCATTTAGTCACTTGTTTCTTGCTCATTTCCAGTTTAAAGGGACAGTTTGGAATTTTGGACATAGGACCTCATTTCCTAGTGAGCCAGAGTGTTGGAGATGTGTGGAGACGCTTTTTAAAATATTCCATCCAGTCCTTGTATTTGCAGAGGTCACTGCTGCTAGGCTAGTGCATGTCAATGGCCATAGTTAGCCTGCCACTAAAAACAGTCTTAGCCACTTCACAAAGCACTCGAAGCAAAACTATTATTACACCAGACTGTCGATGTGAATGTCTGTGTCAATAGAATAATTTTAGAAGTAAAACCAACCTTGCATTTGAAGGATTTATGTCTGAGCATCAGAAGCGAGTTGTACTTCTTGATTGAAAGCTTGACAGCGGTGGATTGATATATGAGAAAATAGTCCCTCAACATGCGATGTTGACGATTCATGCGATGCAAAGTTAGCTTTATTTCAAACATTATTCTATCAACACAGACATTTATATTGGCAGTTTGGCATAATAACAGATTTGCT